GGGGGGGGGGGAGGGGAAGAAAATACTCCCCACAAGTTCAAAAACCTAGCTATCTTATTAAATAGATATAGCAACCGCATCAATAGATTCACAAGTTCCACCCAAAAAAGGTGTTGAAAACAAGAAAAAAAATTCTGGTCTTATTAGCCATCACATTGTGTTGATATTCATAAACTTCAGATACTGTGTTTACCCAATCATATGCATTAAGCAAATCATCTGAATTAAAAATTAAGCATACTATATTAATTGAGAGAGTGACCGAAAAATTTTGATATGCACCTTAGCCCAGAGAGCCATCTCCACAACATCTATACCGACAACTTTAGGAAGTCGGCCCAGTACATCTTTGCAGATGTTTAAGATGCAAAGTAAAAGGCGGTTCCTATAACATAAGAAACAGAAAAGATAGAAAGACACAAATTCTAAAATAACAAGAAATTCATATCAAAATGCACAATTTCCTATAATTTTACCTGTCATCAATATTACGCATGGTCCACTGGGATGGGGCAACACTCTGGCTTCTAAGGTTATCAAATCCCTACAAGTTGTTCAGTCATTTTACCAAAGAATTAAACGTTCCTGTTATGGCCTGCGATGCTGTAATCTTTATGTCATCATGACTCACACGGGTCATTAGTTACAACCTCCACCTTTGAAAGATGTTTCAGCTTGTATAGTTTTGCAGGCTGCAACGGAAGAAAACAACTTTATAAAAATATTAGCTAAAAACAAGACTTTGAGAAAGTAAGTTTTGAAGAAAGTCAACAGGATACTATTCTCGAAAATGCCGTGCTCTGACTATTTGCTTTTAAAGGGGTTGTATTACCATTCATGTTTTTCCAAGAATTTAGGTACATAGAAGCCCCATGACTAATGCAATATTATAGCTCCCACCAAAACAATCATTGTGTCCAACTAACTATGAAGAAAACTACCTTGGCCATTGCTACAATCATCAATCACATTGATCAAAACGTATGATGAGGCTAACATTAAATCAAAATCTACTGAAACTTTCAAAGAACCTCAAAATTCTTCTGAACAAAACAAGGAATTTAAGAAAAGTATAAACTCAAGAAATCACCTCAAGAACTCCTCCATTAGAATACTTTAAGACACGAAGAAAAGCTGTAACCCGCTGACCTTTTGGTTTCGCTGCATAAACCACGGGCTATCATATATCAAGCCACACAAAGTGACCATAACTAAGTATCATAAGAATTAAATTTAGAACTAAATATGATATCACTAACAGCCCCATTTATTTTTAATTTTTTTCAGGTTGGATTGCTTGCATTTAGTATAGCCAAATGATTATCAGAATAGTAAACTGAGAATCGCATTATCAAACAAGAAATAATAAACAGCCTTGACGAGTGTATTGAATTTAGAACAAATTGAGTTCTTTTTTCCACTTAGCGCAGAGTGGAAAATGGAATGTTAATGGATTTAAGCAGAAACATCTAAAACACACAGAAATGGCTCTTGGAGGGGTCACCACATGATCCCAGTTTCGCCTCAGATGCAAATGGTCAAGATCATCCCAATTGAGCACTACTCAATTAGTCCTAGGTGAAAAACTTGAAAACATCAGAGGCATGCTTGCAGAATCCTTATGTAGATGTATTGTAGAATCTTTACTTCAGATATTAAAGCTCACAACCTTATACCTTGTTGGAGAGCTACATTTTCAAGCCTCGGGTGGAGCATGAAACTACGTCAGAATCATCACCTTATGTCGTATGATATACAATCTTAAGAAAGAAAAAAATAGAAGATATTGCAGAAAGATCTACTCAGAAGTTACCCTCATTGACACCACATCGCTCAAATCAAAGCATGGAAAAAGGATCTTATGCCACTTACAAACTTTCTTTATCAATTAGCCAGTTATCAATGCCTCACTCCAACTGTTTTGATCCACAAAAATTGTACCACTCTACCAATTCATCATTCTAAACCTTCAGTTATACTAGTTCAAAACTCATCAGTATCATCATCATCCAATTTCAACAACTGACACACTTCCCTGAGTTCCAAATTGTTTGATCAGGAATTAAAAGTAAAAAGAAATTGCTTCAAAATCTTTTTTAGACATCCTCTCATCGGGTGCTATGAGCAAGAACAACTGCATCACAGTCTACGGAGATGCAACTAAAGAGTTAAAAAGAGAAGCAATAAAAATCAGATATAGTTTAATTCTCATGAATAATGAGCATTGGAATAGCCAAACCACATGGAAATATACTGATGAAATTGCATAAATTGTGACAAAAATATGAAAGATTGCGGTATGAATTTAAATATATGATTGCGTACTGGAAATTGCAAGAACCCTAGGTCTGGCCATGTGACCGCGGCCTAATTTGCCGGATTTGCCCCAGATTCCGCGGCTCTTGGCGACTCGGATCGACATTACGATCTTCTGTCTGGAACCTTCAACTGCCGCCTCGCAGGCTCGCCTTAGCTCCTCATCGTCTGCGCTAGATTTCGCCATTCTCCCTCTCTGTCTCTCTCCCTCCCTCTTTCTCTGTTGAGAAATATAGACGCGCACGCGTCGATGCGCGGAAAAGTTTTGACCGTTATACGGGTACACTCAACTGTATATACAGTTTTCCTCCGTGTTGGGGGTGATTAATAAACTTTCAGTTGACGTCTGAAAGTTGAAATATTAGGTCATATTTGGTTTCCGATCAGGAAATAATTTTTTATTTTTAAAATTTTAAAAATATTCAAAATTTGTTTGTTTAATACTTTTATTTTTAAAATTTTGGAAAAAAAAATGAGATTTGAATTAAAGAAACAAAAAACAAGTATAACTTGTTTTTAGAGTTTTTTTTGAAAATTTTGAAAATATGGAGAACAATTTTATATTTTAATAATTTCTGCCTTTTGAGTCCCCTTAGCATCAAATTTTTTCATTCTTTTTTTTTCTTCTTTCTCTCTCTCTAGACGTCTTCTTCTCCAACGTCTCTCTCTGTCTTCTTTTTCAGATCTGAAGATGCTAGAACACCGAAACACAAATCTCAGATCTGAAGATGCTGAATTTTCAGATATGGGTATATATATATATATATATATATATTTTAAAGTTTGGTTTATTTTTTTTTTTTTATGAAATTGTCAATCTAAAAATAATTTTTTATATTTTTTTATTAATGTTTGAATTATTATTCAGATATATATTTTAGGCTGTCCAAAAAAGTTTTAATATTTTCTATATTGTAAAATTGTTTTTGAAATTATCTAACCAAACAAGTTTTTTATTTAAAAAAATATCAAAACTATTTTCTTAAAACTCTTATTAAAAACTGTTTTCGGATACTATTTTTTGAAACGCAAACCAAACAGGGCCATAAATTTGTGGACTGTTTTGTATTCACTAAAATTTAAATACTGAATTAAACTAAACTGTTTAAAAACACAACATAACTGAGGTCTGAAAATAAATTAATTTTTAGTTTTATCTTTCTATTATTTAATTTAAAAATATTTATAAAATATGTTTTTATCTAATAAAAAATGACAATATATCAAATCAATAATAAATTGAATAATACAATAATTGAAAAATAACATCTGATAAAAAATAATCGAATCACAATAAGTGAACAATAACAAATTAAATTACACAATAAGTGAACAATAACATTCTATAAAAAAATAACTAATAAATAATCAAATAATAATAAATAAAAAAAATAATCAAATTAAAAAAATTAAATTAAATTAAATCTTATTAATAATATGTGTGTGTGCGCGCGCAATTTGTGCTTGTGTGTGGGTAGTTTGGGTGGGTGTATAGTGTATGTCCGTGTATGCGCACGTAGGTGTGGGGGTGTGTGTGCAGTAAACGTGAGTGTGTGATTTAACATGTTTATTTGCAGCAAACGAGCGAAGAAAAAAAGAAAAATAAGAAGAACACCTATTATCTGAAAAAAACGATTGACAAGGAAGATAGATATGTTAGGAGTTTTGGAGATAATACTAATTAGAGTTTTAATAGAATTGTAAAATATTTTGAGTATAATTTTCATATTATAAATATTATTAAAGATAATTTTACTTAGCGTTTTCAGATTTTAAAATTAAATAAGAGATCTCTTATTTAATATTGTAACCTATTTTAAAATAACACTTAACATATTAAGAGAGTTAAAAATTTAGTTATTAAACGAGCTTAATTAATAAATATCAAATATTTTTATTTTAAGTATTAAATTTAGATTAACAAGGACACTCTTTTCTCAATTCTCTATCCCCTCGGCCCTTTTTCATTCTCTTTCTTTTACAATTACACACATTGATAATCGCGCGCAAAGCCATCTAGTTTTTCCTATAAATGAGCCTTCAAATGTAAGGGGAGCTTAGTTTCCTAAATTAAATAAGTTGAATTGAAATTGAAAGAATTTTTTAATATTGAAGACTTTTATTTTAGTATATAATTTAAATTATTAGTTTAAGATTAAAGGTTAAAGATTAAAATTTTAAAATTTAAATTTAAACGAGTTATCGTAATTAAAAGATTAAAAAATTAAATTATAATATAGTTAAAAAATTAAAAATTAAAAAGGTTGTCTTATTAAAAGAATAAAAACTTAAATTTAAATGAGTTATCGTGATTAAAAAGTTAAATTGTAATATAAATCATCGCACCTAAACGAGCTATGTCGCTTTTATATTTTTTAACTGAAAAGTTTCGGACGTTGTTTTATTATTACAGATTTTTCTTGTTTTTTTTTTATCTTTTTCTTTAAAATTCAAAATAGTACATAATCTTTTGTTGCTAAAATTAAAAAATGAAGTTATTTTTCTTAACTTACCAATAAGTTTAATAGAAACTGGAAAAAATATTGAAGGAGGAGGTAAAGTAGAGAAATACATGGAGGATGTTGAAACATGAATGTTCAAAGCATAATACCAAAAAAAAAAAGGAAAATTTCATTTACATCCCCTGTAGTTAGGTCTAAATTTAATAACACCCCTTTTTATTTTAAAATTTTACTGTCACCCCCCTGTCAATAATTGTCGGATTACGACAATGATTGATTTACAAAAATATCTCTGAATATTTTATAAAATAAATTTTATCCACACCCCTTGTAAATAGACTTAACTTTAACAACACCCCTTATAAATAGACCTAATTTTAACAACACTCCCTCTTAATTCTGAAATTTCAATACACTCATTTTTAGTTCTATGGTATTAAAGTTTACATGGATCAATTTAATATTTAATTTTATTAAATTAATATCTTTTATTTGATTTAAACTAAATTAACACTTCATCTAATCAAATCAACATAAAATTAATATTTAATTTTATCAAATTAGCATTTAGTTATATTAATTTAATATTTTATTTCATCCAATTAATATTATTTCTTTAATTTAATATTAAATTATTATTTAATTTTATCAAATCAACACAAAATTGACATTCAATTTTATTAAATTAAAATTTAATATATTAAATAGAATATTAAAATTTATTAATTTAATACAAAATGAACATTCAATTTCATTAAATTAAAATTTAATATATTAAATAGAATATTAAAATTTATTAATTTAATACAAAATGAACATTCAATTTCATTAAAGCAACATTCAAATTTATTCAATTAACATTAAATTTTATCAAATCAATACTAAATTAATATTTAATTTCATCAATTTAATATTTAAATTTATCAAATTAAAACTAAATTTATTCAAATAATTTTTAAATTTTCTATATAAATGGTGACGTGTGAAGAGTGGTCGAGTGACGTTATGAATTACGGATGATAGTAGAGGGTGACGTTATAAGAACTTGATTTCGTAACCAAATGAGCGATAATATGGTGACTAATATTATAGTAGTTTTTGGTTTTCTTTTTTGTTGTGGTTTTTGCTTTGGTTTTTGGTTTTTGTTGTGGATTTAGATCAGATTTGATACTTTCCACACACCCTAAAGACTAGCCACCCTTGATTCTGTAGCCAAAAAAAAAAAAAGAGTTAATAAATTTTTGCCCATTGGAAAACTTCTCCAGTGAAGTTTAGCGTTTTTCAGATCAATGTTTAGGGTTTTATTTTATCTTTTAATTGTGAATTTTCTGTTTATGGGGACTTTTACCTTATATTGTTGTGGGATTTGTTGAGCTTAATCTAATTTGGGATTGTTGTGTTTCAGGGACATTGGTGTATGATTAAAGATGTAACCAAATATTGAGGGGTGAACTCTTAATTATTGAGCACCCTTTAGCTTTTTAGTATAAAAGATCTCGAATAGTGAGGCTAAATAGATTCTCAATGAACTTTGACTATGAACTTTTGAAACTCTATTGTGATTGTGATGGTGTTACAGGAAGTACAATAGATCGGATATGTTAGCTGTTGACCATTTTCCACCTTTTTTTGGTTTTAAAGGTTGTATTTTTGTAAGTTCCACATGTGTTTTTTTTTTTTTTGGGGGGGGGGGGGGG